AAGGAACAAAGAGGTTAAGGTCCTTTTCACAACCCTGTATGTTTCTTTTGTAACATTTTTGCTGCAAAGAGGCATGTGATCTCTGCAGATGCAAATTCACTTTTGACAGCTGTAAAGTCAAGCATCTGGGATAATATCTTCTAGATGGAAAAACTGCCCAATAATCTTACAGAAACCCCTGGAAGAGCATGGAATGGATTAATGGAATTCTCTTACCAAGACATGTAAACACTGCATGAATATACAGTCTCATGCTACATAATTAAAAACTAATCCTTATCTCATGATGAATAACCTTTGGACTATAATGTATCTTAAACAGAAAACTATCTTTTTTCTCAAAAAGCATTCTATTTTTAAAAAATCAATTTAAATTTTAAGAATCTGATTTACATTTTAAAAATCAGGGGGTTTTATTGAAAAAAATCATTGAAATTTATCCATCCTATACCTGGACTGTGATATCTCAGCCATGGTAATTGTAATTCAACATTACAGCAAGATGGGATTACTGTAATGTGTTCTGTGCAGAGCTACCCTTTGGCTTAATATGGAAGATGCAGCTGCTACTGAAAGCACAGAGTGGCTGCTAACTGGGGTCTCCTTCTGACAGTGTTAGACCTTTGCTGAAAGAACTGCACTGGCTGCTAATAAACAAGCCTAAGATGTTGTCCACACAGAAACCCCTAAATGAGTTGGAGTTACTTTGCGGATTGCCTCACCCCTTACATTTCTGCCGGATCTCTGCAGTCTTCTCACAGAGAAGGTGAGCATTTAGTGCTCCGGCAACCACTCTCTGAAACACTACTTACCATTAAGTAAATAAATGCAGCCCTAGGACAGCTGGTTGTTCATACTTGAGAGAAAAGGATCAGGTAGCTAAGAATTTTATTTATTATTTATTTCAAGCTTCTATAGGCCATCATGATAGCCACGTGGCTCTCTGGATGGTTTACAGCAATTACAAGGCAATAAAAGGACCCTCTGCATGAAGCCCTAGTTTAGTATAGTTTAGTTCTGTGGTGAGCAGGATGATAATACTGAAATTGGATATTGTTTATCCTGCATTAAATCATGAGCCTCTTTCCTACATCTGTGTGGGCTTTTAAATGATGCTTGAGTTTGCTGAAGTACTTTTCATGCTACAGTTTAACACAGCAGTAGTTGCATAAGGTATATCTTTGAAAACACTACACCAAGTTGATTAATTCAAGTATCTAGCTCAAAAAACTAGGCAAGTGTGGCAAACCTCAAAGGAGCCTAGCAGCACATGTGTCTGCTTCCATAATAGTTCTTTCTAAAAACAAGCACGAAAATTGCAGGAGAGCTTCCGTACTGCAGGAAGCCCGGGGGACAGGGTGGGGGGGTTACCATACATTCCTTCACACTCTGCTGTGAAGAACACCTCTGCATATTCACCATCAGTGATGTTGGGTCACTACTAGAACTATTACTCAGCGGAACCAGCCAAGAAACTGAAGCTGACTGGACTGGACATTGAAATGTTAACTGATGACTGACCATAGTGTCCAGCATCACACCAAAAGTGGCAAGCTAGTTTAGGGGGCTGAGGTTACACAGTATGTCATACGTGGCTGTCACTGTTGCCATCCAGTATCTGTTAACTAAAGTGATCACCTGGCTTTGCCTAATGGTAGGCCCAACTCTCAGGCACCTGCATGAACTGCAACAGGATCCTTTTGTATTGCTACTTGGCATGGGCCAATGAGACAGCAGGCAGTTGTGAGCTTCCTTTTCAAGCTTCCTTCAATGCTCTCAAGCACACAGCAAACCATCACCCCAAAACAAAGTCCCAAAGTGGTGTGAAGTGGAACTCCAAGGCAGCAGAGAAACCAGCAGCTCACAGCTATCTCTCACCACTGCCAAGTAAGCCTGTGGCTATGTGGGCTCCACAGCCATAAGAGGGGCTTCAAAGGGGGTTCTTTCTTGAGGACTGCTTTACACCTAGCACCAGCCCCGTTGTCCACCTGCCAAGTAGACAAGTTTGCCCCTCACTGACACAGCATTCTCTAAGGGCAACCCTTCACCTTTCTTCACCAGGGATGAATGAGTAGTGCCCACTTCTATGGGAGAGATGTACTTAAGGGAAGAACTGGAGTAAAGGAATATGGTGCCCCCTATTCTTCATGACTTGATGTTCCACAGCCACACTAAACTCACAGAATGCTGAGAATAGCTTGTTTACAATTTCATACCAGATTCAGATGTTTGTTTCTGAAACAAAGCACATGATAAATAAAGGTAAAGGTTTCCCCTTGACATTAAGTCCAGTCATGCCTGACTCTAGGGGGAGGTGCTCATCTCCGTTTCCTAGCAGAGGGAGCCAGCATTTGTCCCCAGACAGTCTCCGTGGTCATGTGGCCGGCATGACTAAACACCGAAGTGCACGGAACGCTGTTACCTGCCCACCAAAGTGGTACCTTTTTATCTACTTGCATTTGCATGCTTTCGAACGGCAAGGTTGGCAGGAGCTGGCACGGAGCAATGGGAACTCACCCCATTGTGCAGATTCGAACCAGCGACCTTTCGAACCGGCAACCTTTCGATCTACCAGCCCAGCAGCACAGCGGTTTAAACCACTGCGCCACCTGCAGTCCCTATGATAATTACATCATGTCTTTAAAGCATGAGTGCGCAAGTTCTGGTCCAGAGAAGACATCTGGCCCACTGGGCCCAGACCCAGCCCACTGTGGTTTCCAGATGACCACACACCCCTTCTCTAGTCCATTCCTCTTTCCCTCAAACACCAATCATTTATTGATATTGCATCATTTCCCTTCCATTCAAAAAGCTTGGAATGCTTCTGCTAAGGCTGTGACTTGCAGTAAGAACTTTAAGCAAACATATGTTGGCATTTTGGCCCTGCTCCTTCTGGCTCTGTCCATGCCAGAATGTGTCCTCCAAGAGCTTCTCCAAAATGGAAATTAAACCCTGGACAGAAAGAGGTTCAACACCCCTGCTTTGAATAGTAATGTAGGAAACCCCCTCCCTGCTTCCCCTACCCTCTCTCACTAGAAAGCACATAGGCAAGAAGCACAAGTAAGTTTGCTATGGCCAACTTTGCCACGGCTATGATTAACACAGGCGGGGCCACTGCGTGAGGACCCAGGTAGAAGCTGATTCAGAAGTCCAACCTTATTTCCCCAAGCACTTTCCATTCTCTTTTAACAACATGCACAGCATTGAGCATGTTCATTCAGAGATTTCATAAACATGGTGTAGGGGGTGGTGGAAAGCTTCAGTGTTGAATATATCCTGAAGTCTTGTCAGCAGTCCCTTCTCTCAACAGGCTGCTGCAGTTTGGACCGTAGGCAGCTTGACAATTAGCTGGCTGGAGCCTGAGCTGGCTAAATCACAGCCCTCCCTGTTCATAGGCGCTCCTCTCCAGTTTGAAATGCTGATTCTGTTCCCATGGGGGTGGGGGCAAGAAAGCTTCACTTCAGACATCATTACTAACTTCTGCTGGCTCATTATAAGTCAGGAGGGGGGCAAGTATTACTCTGGAAAATATGAATGCATTATTTTTAGCCGGTGTGGTTTGAAAGCCATCTTAAAGTTTAGGCACTGGTCCTATTGTGCAGCTTGACAGCATTCACATGGCTTGTCAGGGTTGGAGGTGAGGCAAGGGGCCAAAAGGCTTGTCATGCCTCTTGAAGAAAAGGAAAGTTCCAGTAAGGGCTGCCCTTGCTTCCTGCCCAGGACATTCCCAGCCACTGACATTAGTGGAAAGCTCAATTAGGGTGAGTTCTATTATTATTCATTTAGAGCTGCACCAAAGATTCAGCTATTCAGAGCTTTCAGTCCAATAATACAGAAGAAAATCAGGTTGTATGTTCACTGCTCAGGACTTACGAAAATCTTTAAGCCTGGGCAATCATTAAACCCAATACTAAACTGAAAGACAAATGATGTAACCTTTGGCAGACAACAGAACCCTGAAGAAAAACAGCCTTTTTGTGTTATCCAGAGGCTGATACAGTCATTAGAAAACCAAATGGCAAATTACAGGCAATTTGTTTTGGAAATCAAGGATGACACATCAAAATGTGCACATGGAAATTGCTCTCAATATCAGGGCTGTTCATACTTGCATCCTCATCACTTCACAACTGCAACACCCACCAATGACTTACAAGTCTGGAAGTGTGAACTTGGCTATACCCCTGCAGGTAAAGCTTGCAATACCATCTGAGGCCAACTCAACCACAATGTTATTCATGCATTCTGTTGACCCTCAAGCATGCTGATCATGCTCAAGCAAAGAGAAATTAAGTAATGCACAAAAATGTGTGCACCCAGCCACTGTGTGGTGCTTTAGTGCCAACAGAAACATGAAGTGATCCACAAAAGAAGGTTTCGTGAGCTATGGAGGAACTATACAATGCAGACAGCAGGCTCTCTACACTGCACCGGCTGGACAGAGCTCCTCTTCCTTCCCCAAAGCAAAACTTTCCAGATGTCTCAACTGAAGGGCACCAGGTTGGGGAAGGCTGCTACACACAGTCAATCCTTTGCATGTGGGTTTTGAGGTTTCAACAAGCAAGTTCAATCACTGAAGTAGTACAAATTGACACAACTCCAGCCAGATGAAATCCTGCTGAGCACTGCCAGTCACAGAAATGCAGAACTTTTCTGAAGTTGTGTTTTCTAATAAGAACTTTTCACATCCAAGCAGTACTGCAAAGTATACTAAATGCACAGAAAGAACACAGGAATGCCTTTAGTACACATGGCATCTAACCCAACTAGCCTGGCATCGATCCAAAGTAACTTCACTAAAACAGTAATCCTATGCTTGTCCGTTCAGAAGTAAGTCCCACTGAGTATGTATTTACAGCATCAGAAGAAGTCCTGGAAGACAACACTAAAGTAC